ATGACATTATGTACCTCAGTGCCTTTTTGCCTATGCTTGTTTCCCATGCCTAGCATTCACTCCCTCCTCCTCTGCATTGAAGTATCCCTCGTTTCCTTCAAAGCTTAGTTCAGCAACTGCCCCCAACCTTGGTTGCTAGTGTCTCCCCCTGGAATTAACTTTTTTTTTTTACTTCGTATGTCCTTATGTGTGTATGTGTTGTTTTCCCCAATTTAAAGTAAGCTCATTGAGGGCAGGAACTGTTTTATTTTTATTTTTGAAGCCCCAATTTCTTCAGAGCTGGCATGTAAGTGGTGTTTAATAAATGCTTCTTGATTGATGGGTTTATTGTGTTGGATTATTATGATAGGGCTGTCTCTACTTCAGAGATGATTACCTTGAATGCTAGATAACTATGATATACCTATGGTATTGGTTAATAAGAAAAGAGTAGGAGGGATTGGATTTAAATACACTGTGAAATTTTTATTAGCTACAAAGAGCATCCTGACCATGCTGTGAAAGATAAGGTGGTGATGCATTCTTCTCTATTTAGTTTGTTTTAGTTCAATCTTTGGGAAGGACAAGAGAGAAGTAGATGGCCTTTCAAGATCTTTCCATCCCTGTGATTCTGTGTTTTTTCTTTATTCTGGGATTCTTTGAATGAATCAATAGGAATAGGAGCAGCATGGAGAAAACCATCTCTGGTGCTCTGTCTATGAGGGAGGTGAAGATTTGATCCCTTTTGCTAACGGAAGTTGAAAAATGCAGTTTTGGCTAGCAATGCAGAGAGCCTGTCAGAAACTGCAGTAAAGCTCAACGAACATGTCAGTCTATTAAGCAAGGCATCTGCAGTTCTTGTTTCAGGGCAAGTACAGCCATAGCAGATATTGAGCAAAGAAAGTAGGTGTATTTCCAGAACATTTTAATGGAGTTACTCCCTCTCACTCCTTCCTAAAGAATTGCTATGGATAGAAACCAGCACCTGTGGGCTTTTCCCCATGAGTTAGTGACTCCTTTGCAGCCATAGAGAAGGATATTTTTTGTTTTTGTGATTTGGTATTGGGCCCATCATCAATATCAGTTGAGTGAGTGCTAATGAAGTCTAGTTTTGGTTGATTCCTATAGACCTCAAAGGGTTGGCACATGTTCCAATTGACCACGTTCCATTAGTACTTTATATTCCAGTACCCTACTCTCTAGTATATTTTATTCCCTTTCAGAGCTTTGAAATGGAGGACCCAAAAGGAACTCATCTATTTCAGTTATTTCCTATAGTCACATAACCCATGGACTAAAGAAAAAGTACCTCTCTAAGTTTGAGGTGTTCATAATATTTCTTGGTCCTCCTGTATTCTTTTTTTTTTTTTGGTGAGGCAATTGGGGTTAAGTGACTTGCCCAGTGTCACACAGCTAGTGAGTGTTAAGTGCCTGAGGCCCGCATTTGAGCTCAGGTCGTCCTGACTCCAGGGCCAGTGCTCTATCCACTGCGCCACCTAGCTGCCCCTCTCCTGTATTCTGTCTGTAGGATCGAGGGCTACATGAGAATGAGTTTTGATGACTTTGTTTTTTATATTTTTTTCCCCCTCTTTAACATGATGGCTAGTTGAAAAATAGACTCTACTTAGTCTGAAAAGATTATAGTGAGGTGTAAGGCCTTAATATTGCCATAGCTCATTTAATAGAATAGGACAGGTTATTTTTGTTGTTGTTGTTGCTTTGTTTTTGTTTTTTCATGTTAAGCAGTTATTCTTGTCATCTTCTTGGGACTCTCTTCATATGGTCTATACTATATTCTTAAGCAAACAATTCCAGACCATCCCTGTTGTCCCTGAGAGTCTCCTGTGCAGTGTCCTTTTGGCTCAGTGCCTAGAAAGTTGATGGAAGGATACATAATCTCATTCTGCTATGGAATGCATTTACCTTGGCAGACCAGAAATTTATAGGGAATATGCAGCAGTCTCTCTGACAAAAGATTGCTATATCTTGGCTCCTGATCACCTACCTGCTTATCATCCCATCTTCTGGCCCCAGCAGTCTGGCAGTCCCTTGTGAGCAGCTTTGAGCTGCTGAGTGTCCTCAGGAGACATTCTGCTTTAGAAATTGTACTGCTTTCCTGGCTGAAGTGTTAAATGTGCATGAAGTAGGATGCAAGAGGTACATATATAGGCCCTCATGGGGGCTTCATAGCTGTGCATTATTCCTGTTGTGGTTGCATTTTGTTTAGTCTCATTCCTCTCCTAGAACCACTCTTCTCTACCTCAAACCCCTCCCCTCCTTTTCCTCCCTAACAGGCCATAAAGCTTGGAAGTAATTTCTCTGTATCTTTATGCTTCTTTTAGTTTTCCTTTTCTAAAGAATTATCTTTAGAATAATAACCTATCTTATTACCTAGATGCAATTTTAAGGTGTAACTTTCATTTTTGTTTTAATATTGAGAGATATACCAGTATTTTTAAGGGCTCTTACATATATATATATATGTAAGATATATATATGTAAGATATATATATGTAAGATATATATATGTAATATATATATATATATATCTATATATATCTATATATATCTATATATATCAGGGATGAGGTGGGAGCTGTAGAAAAAGAAGTTCTGAGCTAAAAATGGTCTTATTTTTAAGGTGCATTGAATAGCATAGGATAACATAACCATGCTTAACAGGATGGGTCTTCTGACTAGGATAGCTATTAAGGAGACAATTGGATGTAGGGTTTTTTAAAGCATAATTTGTTTTTGAGGTCTTCAGTATTCTTGGTATCTTTGATAGATGGATGTTGACTAACCTAAACAGACTTTCTTAACATTGCATTATTCTTTATTGCTTCCTTATTCCTCATTTTGGGGAAACCAGTAGTTCTTTGGAAGTAACTATCTGTAGTCCCAGAAATAGGTAGATCCACTTAATCTTCCTGTTGCCCATGAGAAGGAAGGCAATAAGAACTCTTGGAAGCTTGAGATGGCTGTGTCTCTTTTTTTGGGGGGGTGGGAATGAAGTTAGGAGAAAAGACTAAACAAAAAGCAAACTCCATGACAGAATAGTGCATAGACATCAGTCCCCCAGACAACTTGATTTAAATTTTTTTCATGGTACTTTGGCCTAGAAATTCTGGCAGTATCAAATACCATAACATCGTACCAGTTATCTAGATTGTTGACCCTCTTCTGGACCATAGGGGAAGAAGAAAATGAACTACAAAATAGATTCCATACTTAATTTGATAGTTTAGCTGCAGAAAAATAGCTGCTTTGTATTTTTTCTCATGGCCCTCATTTTTTGAAACAGCAATTTGAGAAAAAGAGACTTTTGGAATGAGGAAACACGATTTCCATTTTCAAATATCTGACTGCTATGTAGAAAAGGGCATTAGACTTGTTAATTGTTGCTTTAGAAAGTTAGAACTGTGGCTAATGGGTAGAAGTTAAAGGGAGCTGTATTTTGGCTCTATAAAAAAGGATTTCCCAGCAGTTTGAGCCATCCATCAATGGAGAGGGCTGTCATAGAGTAGTGAGCTGTGTGTGTTGGAATTGTTCAAGAAGAGACTGACCATCTTTAGAAATACCATTAGAAGGAATTAATGCACTGAGAAGGAAGTTGAATTAGTTGACCTCTAAGGTTTCTTTCAAATCTTAGGTTTTATCCATTCAAGATGTGTTTATTGATCATCTCATGTATGGAAGGCGCCTTGCTAGGTACTGAAGGGGATACAAAGATGAGTTAAAAAATGGTCTCTGACTCATAAAGTGCTCAATATTTAATAGGAAAGATGTATACCAACAAGTATAACAAAATAATTTGAGTGAACATAGCTGGGTGCTGTGTTCAAAGCGCTGTCTTTGTTCCTGTTAAGGTAGTCCAGCTAAGAACTGTCATTGATGGAATGAATTTCATGTTTTACTAGTTCGTCAAATTTAGAGCACCAGTTTGTGATCATATATTAGCAATTCCTGTGCATAGCTCCTAAGTCTCAGTGATGTTTAAGATTTTATAGAAGACTTAAGACAAATGAAAACACTGGCCGTTTTTTTCTCCTCAATTCATTTTTTTTTTAAGTTTTTCATTTTTTGATTGGGATCCTGAACACAAAACACCAGCTCAGGTAGCTTCAGCTAGTCTTTGGAAGCTAGGCTCTCATGAAGACTGAGAATGCATCCTAGGTCACAGTGAACAAAAGCAGTAAACTCTTAGATAAATACATGCAGCACTGAATATTCTCACCCATTTCGTTTTTCTTCAGCCAAAGACAAGGTTTATTAGAACATCTGTCATATTGGGCAGACCCTTAAGGAGTCTGAGCATTAGTAAGCTATTGGCTAGATTATAAGGATCTGAGCCTTACCCATTTCTTGAGGATCACTTGTATCTTCAAATGGATCTAAGAAGGAAAAGGAGTGTCTTTGATGACTGTTGTCAGGAGACATTGTCACCCGTTACTATGTTAAGTTTCCAGGACTATACTGGGGACAAGACATGGAATTGAGTTTCCAGACTTGCCTTTTCAGAAGAGTAGTTAGGTCTGAAGTACAGTTAGTGATCCATGAGAGGGGAAGGGTCTCCTTTTGGTGCCAAGCCTGTTTGACTTCAGGTGTTGCTTTGAGGAGAAGAACTCTGTAGTCTTTATGCGAAGTGATATTACCTGCTTCTAGTCCTGTGCGTGGGCAACAGTGCTGGCTTCCCTGACAGTGGCTGGTCCCTGTGAGGTTCACAGGGTGAGTCACTGAGGGGTGCCAAAGTAGATCCTCCTCTTTCCTGGGAGTGGAGCAAGTGGGGCAACCCTGTCCTGAAACTGCAGATGTTGCTTGAGTGCAGCAAGAGCTTTCTGGGGTGAGCTGGGGGGCTGGGGAGGCCTTCATGAGAGTAAACCCAGGAAGCTGCCAGAGCCAGCGTTATGTGTTCAGAACAAAGAAGACACCAAAATACAAAATGCAAATCTGTACATGGGGAATTTAAATACAGAATTTATCTCATACCCTTGCTTTCTTTGTACTTGCTCTTCCCATAGGTGTCTGTAGACGTTGCTATATTCTATTGAAGATGTCTAACAGTAACACTACTCAAGAGACCTTGGAAATAATGAAAGAATCAGAAAAAAAGCTGGTGGAAGAGTCTGTAAACAAGAATAAGTTTGTATCCAAGTCACCAAGTAAGGAAGAGATTGAGAAGGAGGGTGAGGATACTAGCGTTCGGCAGGAGACACAGGTAAGGGACCAGGAAAGCATACCTAGGTTTTTACTTGGAAGGGTCCCTGTTGGATGCCAGAGGAATCTGTAGGTGTTTGGCCACATGTAGGGTCAAAGGTCTCCAGCTTCCCTTTTTTATATTTCAGTTTCACTTGCTTTCAAAGGCTCTTCCTTTTAAAATAATAAGATCCATACAGAGATTTGTAAAGAGAGCAAAACATAATTCTTGATCTCAGAATCTCTGTATATGTATATGGCTTAATTACTCTCGTCTAACATCATATGCCCATGTTACTAACTGTAGTCTAATATACTTAAGATTTTTCAGAGGAGAAAAAGAAAAATAGAATCACAAGCATGTGATAGGACAAGTCATGAAACGTTACAGTCATTAAAATCTTGCAACCAAAACTGTGCATCTGTCCTAGTGCACAGTGTTAAAATTCATATCCTGGTTGTGTTAAAGCAATCAGCATTTACTGGGTCAAAAATAGGTTCTGAAATTGCCACTTGGTGTAGGTGATTGAGCAGTGTTTCACACCTTGGCTGCCATATTGTTTTCTGCCCAGATTCTGACTGCAGAGCAGAGCAGAGAAGAGGGCAGTTCTGTTACCAGATAGTACTTCTCCCTCCAAGATTTATTTTTTCTTCCGCTGACTTACCTAGTCTCAGAACCAATTCCAGCCTAACCTGACTATTCTGTTCCCCTACAAAGAGTAATCCTAAATTTCAGCAACAATATTGCTTCACAAAACTTGGCCTCCCAATTCTTTAGTTTCCTCATGTTCCATGACCTGCATTGTCACAACCCCTCAGTCAAACACAGGGACCACCACACTTTGATGTCACTGTTGACTGCAAATATTCTGTTTCCATGTTCAAGAATTCTGAAAATGTACTCTTAGACCATAACCTGTTATCGTTCAGGATCATCCTATGCCTGATTATTCCTGATCCTATTCTTTATCCTCAACATGACCTCTACTTCCTTGACCTCTCAGTGTGTTTTCTGGTTTCCCTTTCCTTTCTTCCCCATTTGAGAAGTAAACCAGTTCACCATTACACTGTTCTCTTGCTCTAAAGTCCCTTGCCTAGTTTTCCTGTCATTGCTCAGGCCATGTCAAACCACATCCCTGTATTAACTCCCACTATCTGCCTCATCTATTCCAAATCATTTGCTGTTGCACAGCACTGAAAAAAGTTACACAGTTGTGCTGACTGAGTCTATTATAGGTTTATATAATCTAACCTCTACTGGTCCATCACGGCAGCTAGACATTCCTTTTGCTCCTCTCCAATTGGTTCTCTGTTACTCCTCCCCAATTGGTTCTCTGTTACTCCTTATAGCAGCCCTATTCCAGACTTTTGTTTCCCAGATATCCCACACCAACCCCTTGCTACAGTCTCTCAGGAATTTGCTTTATAATTTACTGAGAAAATAGAGTCTATTCGCAGTGAGCTCCTTCTCTTCTCCTCTAAATCTCCCCAACTTTTGCCATCATCTCCCATTTTCTCCTCCAGTATTTATGAAGTGGCCCTTTTCCTTACCTAGGCCTAATCCATCTGCTTGTACCTTTGATCCAGGCCCCTCCTCTTTCACTCTTTGATCTTTATCTCTTGATCACCTTCTTCTCCTTGATGCTTTCTTCTCTCTTGGTTTTCAGGCCACCACATTCTCCTGGTTTTCCTCTTGCCTATCTGACCACTCCTCAATCTCCTTTGCTGATCCTCATCCAGGTCTTACCCTCTAACTGTAGGTGTCCCACAGAGTTCTGTCTTGGGTCTTTTCTCTTCTCCTTCTGTGCTACTTCGTTTGATGATCTCATCAGTTCCTGTGGATTTAATGACCATTTCTATCCTGATAATTCTCAAATATACCTATCTTCCTCCAACTTCTTAGCTGATTTCCAATCTCACATCTCCAGCTGCCTTTTCAGATAGCTCTAACTGGATGTTCAGTAGACATCTTAAACTCAGTATGTTCAACATGGAGCTCTTTCCCCTTAAACCTTTCCCCATTACCACTTAGCTGTTAGAATGGAGGGCAATACGATTCACCCAGTTCCTCATGCTCATAGCTTAGATGCCATCATTCACTCTTCACTCTGTTGCCAAGGCCTGTTCACCTTGCAGCATCTCTGGAATGTCCCCTTTTCTCTTCTGATCTGCCAACATCCTTGTACAGGGTCCTTATACTTGGACTGTTGCAATAGCCCGCAGGTAGATCTGCCTACCACAAGTCTTTGCCCACTCCAGACCATCCTCTATTCTACCACCAAAGTGATTTTCCTAAAGCTCAGATACAATTATATCACCACCACCCTCTGTACCCACCAACTCCAGTGGCTCCCATATTGCCTCCAGGATCAAATACAAAATCCTCTGTTTGGAATTCAAAGCCCCTTCATAACTTTAACCAACCTTCCTCCCTCCCTCCCTCCCTTCTTTCTTCCTTCCCCCTTCCCTCCCTCCCCCTCTTATTCCCTGAAATGTACTCTTTGATACAGTGATAAGCTTCCTTGTTGTTCCTTAAACAAGACACTCCATCTCTCAGCTCCAAACATTTTCTGTCTGTACCCATGCTTGAAATTCTCTCACTCCTCATCTCTACCTGCTGGCTTTCCTGGCTTCCTTTAAGTCCTAGCTAAAATGTCATTTTCTACCAGAAGTCTATCCCAACACCTCTTAACACTAGTCCCTTCCCTCATTTCATTATTATGTGCATGTGTCTTGTTTGTACATATTTGTTTGCTTATTGTCTCTTCCATTAGATTGTGAGCTCCTTGGGGGCAGAGGCTGTCTTTTGCCTCTTTTTATATACCTGGCACATAGTAGGTGCTTAATAAATGTGTGTTGACAGACTGAATCTCTCCCTTTATTTTGGCTCTTCCTCTGATAACTCCAAACATACCAAGATTTTCCCTAGCCCTAAAAATTTCCCATTGTCTTGTTAAGCTGTAGTCTTATATCTTTCTTCCTTTTCACAGCCATACTTAGAGGAAAAATTCTCCTGTCTACATCTTCTCTTCTCACTCACTTCTCAACCCCTTGCAGCTCCTGGCTTCCAGCTTCATCATTCACCAGAAATCGCTCCACAGTTACCAATGGTCACTTACAAAATCTTAACGGCTTTTTCTCAGTCTCTTTTCTGGATTTTCATGACTACTTTTTCTCAGTTATCCTCTTACCTGTCTGTCTGATCTTTCTCAGACTTCTTTCTGAATCGTTGTTGATATTCCTCTTTTTAGCTCTTGAGTATGCTCCTAGGCTCTGTCCTGGAACTTCTTTTCTCTCTATATATTTTTTCAGCGACTGTATCAATTTCTATGGGTTCATCTCTACACAGATGACCCCATATCCAGTCCTGGTCCCTTTCTTGAACTCCATTAATAGGATCACTGACAGACTATTGGATGTTTCAAAGTAGATGACCTATAGGCATCTCTAACTCAAGAAGTCCAAAACAGAACTTATTATCTTCGGTGGCGCCCCCCCTCCTTTTTCTAGTTTTTGTGTTACTGTAGATAATACCATCATTCTTTAATACCCACAATCATCTTTGATTCTTTGTTCTCCCTCATCCCATATAGCTTATTAGTTGTCAAATCTTGTTTCTATCTCCATAACATCTCTCATGTCTGTCCTCTTGTGTCTGCTCACATGGCTATTGCCCTTTTTCAGATCCTTATCACTCTTCTTCTGGACTATTGAAATAGTCTTTTAATGTGTCTACCTGCCCTAAGTCTTTACCCTCTCTAGTCCATATTCCAGAGTGCTTAATTAAGTCCAGCAGTTCCCGGTTCTCTAGAATCACATACGAACTTCCCTGCCGTTTAAAGCCTTTCACAGCCTGCCTCCAACCAGCCTAATTATACATTACTCCCTTTCATGTACTCATTGGTCCAGCCAGACTTCTTGCTTGGGCTTCTTGCTATTTCTCAGTGAGATTATATATCTCAGTGCCTTTGCCCATGCTTGTTTTCCATGCCTAGAATGTATTTCCTCCTCCCCTTTGCATTGTAGAATCCCTAGTTTCCTTCAAAGCTTAGTTGCAAAGTAGCTGTCCCCTTCCCCATTTACTTTTATTTACTTTGTATGTCCTTATTGTGTGTATGTGTTGTTCTCCCCAATTTCAGGTAAGCTTGTTGTGGTCAGGGACTGTTTTGTTTTTGTCTTTGGAGTGTCAGTGCCTTAAATCAAGCCTGGCATGTAAGTGGTGTTTGATAAATACTTCTTGATGATCAAGCCTAACTAAAATCAGCCATTTCCTTTACTGCCTTGGAGAAATAAAAGTATCTCTAATAAGGAGAGACAACATTTTCTCAAACTGCTAATACTGTTTAAAATTAAGAAAAAGGCGGAATGTAGTCAGCCTTCTAGAAGTACTAAGATTGTCTATAGAAACATAATTTCTGTGGGCATTTATAAAAGACTAAGTTTGTCTCTGAAACATTTCGGTTTACCAGCTGTTTTCCTTCTTTTGTGCTTCACAGAATCAAAGAATTTCAGAGTTGTAAGGGACCTCAGTGGCCCTCTAATCCGGCTGATACTTGAAAAAGATCTGTCTCACAAATGCTCACCCAGTTTTTTCCAGAGAACCTCAGATGACAGGATCCAATAGCCTTAGAAGCCACTAGATGACACAGTGGATCGAGCGCTAGTCAAGTGTATCTGAGGTCAGATCCAGCCTCAGACATGTTAGTTGGGGGATGCTGGGCAAGTGACTTAACTTCCCTCACTCTCGGTTTCCTCATCTGTAAGATGGGAATAATAGTAGTATCTACCTCCCAGGGTGATTGTGGCAATACAATAATATTTGTAGAGTGCTTTGCAAACTGTAAAGCACCATATCAATGCTAGCTTTTATTATTGTTGCCCTCTTAGGCACCCCATTTTACTGTTGAGTAGGTCTAATTATGTATCTTTACATCAAACATAAATTTGCCTCCTTACAGCTTCCTGCCCGTTGTTCTTTTTTCTGCCTATTTGAGTTAAGCAGAACAATACTTTTTTTTTGAG